ATTTCTGAAAAGCAGTCCCTTCCCTCTGACACAGGGCAAGCTCAGGCACTCAGGTGTAGCACCCGTGCTGCATCTTTCCACACAGTGACTGCTGAAAGGAATAAAATCAGAGTAGTTGCTAACGTCTCACAATTTCTAGAGTTAAAACACTGAGATGCTACACAAAACCCACCAAGATGTGTGTTTAAGTGTGCCTTTTTAAACTATTTTTTTTTCTACTTAGCAACAGAAATTTTAAATACAATAGAGGTACTGTATTCAGGGTCTGTGCAGGCTGGCCAAATACGATTCTTTATAGAAAAATAAACCATTTTTGTCCCCTTTTGCACAGTTTTAAGAGATCTTCAAAGGTGGCAAGCCTGATGGATTCAGCAACACTAATGCAAAACTGGAAAGAGAACAGAGAGTAAAAGCAAGTTTCATTAGCAGAGAGAGTTCTACATAAAATATACTGGAGCTGCTGGTGGAGAGAAAGAGGCAGCCAAGATGTTCAGCTGCAAGTGGAGTCCAATTTGATGCTCAGCATGAGTTTAAAAGGAAGATTTTCTCAGCCTTAAAATAAAAGAGCACTATCAGAGGCGTATGGGGCAGAAAACTGTAGTCACGGAAATGGATTGTACCAGGCTTGGGAAAAGTGAGAGCGGCAAGAGGAGCTCATTTTGCTGTGATACTTTTACAGACATGCTCATCTGAACACTCCCAGGAGGACTTGCTCTATGCGTCCAAACCAAATATACATGCATGTTAGCACATGGTTTGTATCACAATGATAAAGCCTGAGTGTGAAGGAGATCCATCCCAAGTTAACTGGGAATTTTGTCTTTAACTTTGGGGGAGCAGACCTTATTTCCTGCCATCGGATCTGCTGCTGTCTTTCATTCTTCGTAGCACCAGCCCTTTGACATAAACAAATTGCTAACATCGAGGACCCGATCCTGCTTCCCCTGAAATCAATAGAAGTTTTGTCACTCGTTTCAATGGGATCAAGGATTCAATCCTGCAGTTCTCGAAGTCAATAGGGTTGGGGTTTTCTTTGCATAAGTAGGGTTGCATTAATACTGCAGGATGGGCCTATATTATATTGATTATTGGAATTTGAAGCCCAAGCATAAAAACAGGATTAAGGAAATGAAATAAATTTTTCAAAATGTGACTTTAGAGCACCATGCACCCATGGTGTGCAGCAGGTCCACGGGAACTCAGCCGGAGCAAGGCTGCAGTGGCGAAGCCTCAGCCAGCCACGTCCGTCGGGAAGCACTGGGGGGGACAGGGAGAAGACAGCCACTGCAGGATCCTTTTTCATCTGCTCCTTCTGAAGTAACCCTTTGAGTCACTAATTCTTCATTAAAAATAAGCAAAGCATCGACAGAAAAAAAATTATTGTCATGAGTACACACGTATTAATCGATTCTGCTTCTTCTCTGCTGTTTCTTCTCCCTCTTCTCCGACACGGGGCTGTTATGTGTTTCTGCAACACTGACTGGCAAATCAGAATTTATTGTACATATGCTTGTGCTCCACTTAATAAAAAATATACCTATATTTTCAGATAAACTTTGTTAGTAATTCATGAGGTAAGTGACTATTTATGCTAATAAGGGAGAAATATATTCTCAAGCATAATGCATTACATAAATTTGAATGCAAAATGTTCAATTATGAAGTAAATACAGGTAATGCAAATAGTAAATTACATCCAATAAAAATATATAAAGAATGTGTCTTCAAAGAGAGAGAGGCTTTTATTTGCGTCTGTGAGTTGTTTAAAGAGAAAAGAATTAATAAATACTGAATTACTATTATGATGATTTAGCTCATAATTCACCGATCCATAATGACTCCCAGTAATCAGACTGTTGTTTCAGATCCTCAAATATAAGGCAGGACTGTTTCCTCAGCAATTTTATCCCTACCAGATTATCTCGTCTGATTCTATTAATTCTCTCCCATAAATCTGCTAACAGTGATATGTGATTTACTTACCCTGTTAACTGATCTGAAGACTGTTAAAAGGATTTATCTAGCACTGCACCTAGGAGCAGTTTATGCCTTATCACTCTGTTACTCCAAAGAAGTCTTTCTGAAATCAATTTGGCCAGTTTCATAGTTAAATTTGGTGGACACTGCTTAGTTCTGCACCATAAAATAAGACACTAGGTAAACAAAAGGAGCAGCAACTGTACTTAATGTGTTGTTCTCGACATGTGTTTAAGTTATAACAAATTACACTCTGGGTCTGTATAACTCATAACCCGCACGTTCGCCTCTGCTAAATCTTCTGTGCTGGATACATACACACATGCACACACACGCACGCTTCAGCGATGAAAGTTCATGCATATGCTGCTGGCGTGCTCGTCCCAGTGCAGCGCGATTCGAGTGAATTTGGAGTTAATGTTTCACGTCCCCCTGCACGATTTGTCAGAAAAGTCTCCCGCAATAAATATACATTAGTTTGAAAGCTCCTGAAGCAGGTCAGCAGCAAGCTGCGAGCAGGCAGGGCTCCACATCGCGTTGTCGAGCAGAGATGCTGGAAAACAAACTGGAGCAAGGGGCTACGAAAGGGACGCTGGAGTTTTCCCTCTGCTTGGATCAGGAACGAGCAGTGCTGGGAAAAGGGAGCAGTCTGGGGGAATTGGCCTGTGATAATTGTGGAAAAACCGAAGACTGAATAGCTCTAATTGAAATGAAAGTGTGCGATTGTTATGAAAGAAACACTGGTAATAGAGGACTGTAAATGTTTAGACACCCATTGTGAATAGCCAAATAATAAAGAAAAATAGTACTAAAATGAGAATTATATAGTGGAGAGAGGAGAATGTTGCTTCTGAAGGTTATCCAAAAATTGCTAATAATCTTTTTTTCTCTGGTGTGCTGAGCAGCAGAGACATTTTGGTGCGGCAGCTCTGTGTAATAATCACACAAGAACAATATTGTACAACTAATAATTTTACTTGCTGTTCTGGTAGGTCAGAGCTCTGATTTAATTTGCAGCACTTGCTTACATTGGTATCAATTAACAGACGGTCCCCATTAGCTCACACAATTTCATACTCTTTGTCTCGAGTTCAGAGTTTACTCAGGAAATTTACTAGTTTGCAAATGTAGCACTTTGAATCCTCATGTCCAAATAAACTATTTTATGGGGCTGGAGCCATATTTCCACAGACATCTATCAAACAGGCAAGTGAAATACTACGATTGTATGTTCTGAAAAGCAATAACCTTTTCATTTAAAAATATTAGCACACATTTTATGCCCCTCATAGGTGAGCACGTTAAGTGATATACAGTACCACATTCATCTTCCTCAGGAAAAAAACAAATACGGGGAATTGGACTGTCCTGTGGGGATTTATGCTGCGAGCCTGGAAGTTTTGTTGATTCCTACGATGTGAAGAAATGGGAAAGCCAGCCGGAGCAGTTAAGTCGTATTAAGTATGTCACGAATATCAGCTGCAAGATAAACCCAGCAGATGTCCACGGCTCTCTGTGCGTGTGCATTGTGGGGCTGTGCAGAACTGTTTTAATTTTGTTAGCGACGTCGGTAGCGTTTTTTAACTTTACAGGATTGCCTCTGCAATCACTTCTAGATGTAGCTATCTTCCTAAATTTGCAGTATGCCCTACCTTTTTAACTGCCAGGAACAGTACACGCTGTATGACTTTCAGATGTTAGTACTGGCACTCGTACTGATAATGGCATAGTCAGAAGATGTTATCCATTCGTGAATCCACTAGCCAAGTATTATTTCCGAAGCAGAGATTCTTTGGCTATCGCAAATGATGATTTTCACAGTTGGTGAAAAATTACCCAGAGACTTGCCTGCACCTACAAAGTCATACCCCGTGCACGGTTATAAATAGCAAACTCGGAGGGGGAAGGGACCGGGCAAGGGGAGAAGGGAGGATTTGAAGTACAATGTTCAAGAAGCTGGTTTAATATATGACCAAGTGTCAGAAGTCAGGTTTCTGAGAATTACTTTTCAGATAAACAACTTTATAGCACCGCACTTAATCTTACTTACTAGAGACATCTCATTTATCACGGAATTACAAGTAACTTTAATTCTATCGATATTCCCATAAAGCCCGCTCGACAAAGCGAGCCTGGCAGCTCGGCAGGCTGCGGGCTTCCCCGGCCCAAGGGGGGCCAAGAAGGGACCCCAACCGAGCCGACCTGAGCCGGGCCGGGCCGGGCCAGCCCCGACGGCGGAGCCCCGACGGCACGGCATCGGCACGCACGGCTCGGCACGGCCCGGCACGGCTCGGCTCTGCTCCCGCGGCTCGGCGCCGGCCGGGGACGGCCTCGGCACTGACCTTTCGACGAGAGATGGCGCTGTCGAGGTTTGAACGGAGCCGCTCCGCCGCCGCTCGGCACCGCCGGGTGCAGCCCGCTCCGCGCTCGCACGGCTCCCCCCCCTCCAGCCCCGGCCGGGGGGCACCGGGAGGGGAGGCTAAAAAGAAGACAATTAGTTTCGCGATGTATTCCGTTAATTAGCCCGGCCAGGCCGGCCGAGCGCCGGCGGGAGCGGGGCTTGCAAACTTGCAGGGCTTTCGGACCTCTCTGCTGGGGACGGCCGGGGAACGATCGCTGCCGGCAGCAAGCGGCAGACCCAGGGGGGAGCCGCCGCGGGGGGGCGGCCCGGGGGTCTCGGTACCGGCACCAGGTAGCGGCTGGAGCCCGGCTGAGCCCGGCAGCACCGCCGAGCCCCGCGGAGCCCCCCGGAGCAGCCCCCTCCCTCGGGCCGTCCCCGCACGCCCCCGGGCCAAGTCCCCCGGTGCCCTCGGGTGCCCGGCCGGCCAGGAGCACCCGAGGGCTCCGCACCCCGGGGCAGAGCAGGACAGAACAGGACAAAGCAGGACAGAGCAGGACAAGCAGGACAAAGCAAGGCAGCGCGGAGCGGAGCGGAGCGGAGCCGGGCGGGCACCCGACGGCGCGTCCCGGCGGGAGGAGCGGCCCCAGCCCGGTGCCCGGTCCCCGGTGAACGGGGCGGGCAGGAAGGGGTTACGGCGCTCCCAGCTGACAGTCAGCTGATTGCGCCCTGATTGACAGCCCCGAAAAGTTTCCTTGTTTCTATACTATTATGCTAATGCCGGCGGCTGCAGGCAGCCCATTGGGCCGCCCGCCCAGCCAATTTGCCATTCGGAGGCTGACGTCAGGAGCGCTATAAAACTCTGCAATGCTTTTAAACTCTCCTGCTGGATGAAACCTTTAAAATATTTTTCATCTTCTTGCCGTAGCTTTGGGGTTGAGTTGTGTTTTGTTTTTTTTTTTCTCTCTCTCTCCTTTTTTTTTTTTTTATGATTGTTATTATTTTGGTTGCGATATCGACTTTGATTTTTTTTTTGTCTTCGGTCTCTTCTCCCTCCTCCTTTCCCCGATGAACCTCTCTCCTCGCTTTGCACTTTGCATGAGAAAGCCCAGAGGAAAGGCACCATGAAGTGTTAAAAATAACCAAACTGAACCTAAAAAAAAAAAAAAAAGAAAAGAGATTTACTCGCAACAACACCAGCTAACACTTCCAGCTGCAGTTTGCAAGCTGCAAAAAGAGAGAGAGGAGAGAGAGAGAGAGGAGGAAAAAAAAAAAAAACCTTTATGCAAAAGGCGAATAGCGAGAGCCCCTCGCTCTGATGCATCAGCAGCAGCGGAGACTCTGCAAGGGATAACGCGGAGCCGGAGCGAGAGCGGCCGGGGCGGAGCGGAGCGGAGCCGGAGCCGAGGCTGCGGCGAGAGGCAGCGGCAGGAGGAGCGGTGCGGAGGGGTGCGGAGCGGTGCGGAGCGGTGCGGAGCGGAGCTCGCCCGGCAGCAAGCTGGCTCACCCGGCGGCAACTCAGAGCAGTCCCCTCGCTCCCGGAGCGCACCCTTTCTGGAGGACTGTCAGCAGCAAAAGGATGGCATCAGAACTGGCAATGAGCGGCTCCGACCTGCCCACCAGTCCCCTGGCCATGGAATATGTTAATGACTTCGATCTGATGAAGTTTGAAGTGAAAAAGGAGCCGGTGGAGACCGACCGCATTATCAGCCAGTGCGGCCGCTTGATCGCCGGGGGCTCGCTCTCCTCCACCCCGATGAGCACGCCCTGCAGCTCGGTGCCCCCGTCCCCCAGCTTCTCGGCGCCCAGCCCCGGCTCCGGCAGCGACCAGAAGGGCCACCTGGAAGACTACTACTGGATGACGGGCTACCCGCAGCAGCTCAACCCCGAGGCGCTGGGCTTCAGCCCGGAGGACGCGGTGGAGGCGCTCATCAACAGCAGCCACCACCCGCTGCCCGGCGCCTTCGATGGCTATGCTAGAGGGCAGCAGCTGGCCGCGGCCGCCGGCTCCGGGGGCTCGGGGCCGGCCGAGGAGATGGGCTCGGCGGCCGCCGTGGTGTCGGCGGTGATCGCCGCGGCGGCGGCGCAGGGCGGCGCGCCCCACTACCACCACCACCACCACCACCACCCGCACCACGGCGCCGGGGGGCACCCCCACGGCGCGGCGCCGGGCAGCGCGCCGCCTTCCTCCTCCTCCTCCTCCTCCTCCTCCTCGTCGTCGTCGGCCGCCGGCTCCGGAGGCGGCGGCGGCGGCGGCGGCGGCGGCGGCGGGGGCGCCGGGGGGCTGCACCACCCGCACCACGGCGGAGGCGGCCTGCACTTCGACGACCGCTTCTCGGACGAGCAGCTGGTCACCATGTCCGTGCGGGAGCTCAACCGGCAGCTGCGGGGCGTCAGCAAGGAAGAGGTGATCCGGCTGAAGCAGAAGAGGAGGACCCTCAAAAACAGGGGCTATGCCCAGTCCTGCCGCTTCAAGAGGGTCCAGCAGCGGCACGTCCTGGAGTCGGAGAAGAACCAGCTGCTGCAGCAAGTGGAGCACCTAAAGCAGGAGATCTCCAGGCTGGTCCGGGAGAGGGACGCCTACAAGGAAAAGTACGAGAAGCTGGTCAGCAATGGCTTCAGAGAAAACGGATCCAGCAGCGACAACCCTTCCTCTCCAGAGTTTTTCATGTGAGTGCCCACAGCCTTGCCACCTTAACTAAAAGTTCTCCGTGTGAGTTGTTGTTGGGGGCTTTGCTAGAGCGACAACCCAGCTTGCCACCTCGTGTCACTTTTTCTTTTTTTTTTGTTTTTAAACTCAAAACGATTTTAAAACCAAGTTGGTTTTGGGTTGATTTTTTTTTTTTAAGGTGGGCTGGCTCCGTGTTGGCCGACCTAAAGTTCTACATGAGTTTCTTTTCTGTTTATTATTATTATTTTTATTTTTTTTGTGGGGGCTTGCTGTTGTTTTTTTTTTTTTTTTTAGATTTAAAAGATCCAACTCACCACCAACTCAGTTCTTCATATGAAGCTTGCTCTTCTTTGAAACCTGCCATCCACATTATATATATATTTTTAAGTTCATGAGTTTTTTTTTCTTTTGAGCTTGCTGTGTCCAAAAGAGTCAGATTTTTTTTTGCCATCCTGAGTTCTTCATATGAGATTTGAGCTTTGCGAAAAGTAAATAATAAAAAAAAAAACACAAAAAACAAACAAAAAAAAACATAAAACAAAAAAAAATACACAAAAAAATACAAAAACAATGTGAAATTTTTAGACTCCAGCTTGCTGAGTTCCATCAGTTTTTAGCGTTGTTGTGCAAAACTAGAGATATACCTAGATCAACCTGCCAAAATCAAGCCTGCATCAACCTTCGGTGTGTTCATGTGAGTTTTGGCCTTAATCTGCCAAACGTGAGACTTTAGTCTGCCATTAGAATCCCATACTCATCTCATGCATTACGCTTGCTATTTTGTCTTAGCAACAATGAACTATAACTGTTTCAAAAGACTATGAAAAAGAGACATTATATTAATAAAAAACCCTGCATGCTGGTCATGTATGGTATAATTATTTTTTTTTCTTTTGCTTGGAAATGGACTTTTGGAGACTATTATGGCATGGCATTCATCCTTTTGTTTTATTGCCTCATCACTTTTTTGGGTTGAAAGCAAAAAAGTGCAACCTTTGATCTTCCTCCTCCTCTTCCTCCCCATTAAAGTTTGCATCTGCTCTAAAACTGCTTTGAGTTATTCAAAACTTCAGACTTCCTTTTAAATGCACTGAAGCATTCCCTCTTAAAAAAACATGCCAGAATGGATTTTGATAATGTGGCAGAAAAAAAAAAAAGATAAAAAAAAAAGATAAAAAATACAAAAAGAACTTTGGGAAGATGTTCAAAAGCAAAATTCACATCCCATTTGGGGGGAACATTGAAACCATGCTGTTGCCTAAAACAGTCACACAAATAATTTTAAGTGATCTGCCCCATCCCTCTTTCTCTCTCTCTCTCTATTTTTTTTTTCCTTTTGCATTTGGTCATGGTCAAATGTGGAATGCTCTGGGTTCCTAGTATATAATTTAATTCTAGTTTCTGTCATCTGTTAGCCCAGTTAAAATGTATGCTACAGATAAAGGAATGTTATAGATAAATTCGAAAGAGTTAGGTCTGTTTAGATGTAGATTTTTTTTTTTAAAGATTGATGCACTAAATTGTTTACTGTCGTGATGTAAAGGGGGGTAGAATTTGCAACGGGACTGTTTTAAAAAGTAGTTTATGCAGCATGTGCTTGCAACTTAAATATAAGTTGGGTATATGTAGTCCTTGCTATACCACTGACTGTATTTGAAAACCAAAGTATTAAAAGGGGGAGGCACCCCTGTTTATATCTATAGGGGTATTTTACATTCAAAATGTATGGATTTTTTTTTTTTTCAAAATTGAAGTATTTGGGACTGAATTGCACTAAGATATAACCTGCAAGCATATAATACAAAAAAAAATTACAAACCTGTTTAGAACGCTAATACAATTTATGCAGTTATAAAGATGGCATTACTGCACAGTTTTAAAATGATGCAGATTTTTTTACAGTTGTATTGTGGTGCAGAACTGGATTTTCTGTAACTTCAAAAATTCCACAGTTTTAAAGGCAATAATCAGCAAATTTTATTTTCAGGGACTGATATCCTGTCTTTTAAAAAAAATGGAAAGTAAATCTTACCACAATAAATATAAAAAAATCTTGTCAGTTACTTTTTCTTTTACATATTTTGCTGTGCAAAATTGTTTTATATCTTGAGTTACTAACTAACCACGTGTGATGTTCCTATGTGCTTTTCTTTCATTTTCAACTCTATGGTTATATCAAAAGAGAGAATAATCTACAATAATAAACTGCATTTTTTTGATTCTGTACTCAGTTTCTTAGTGTGTAGTTTAAAGTTCAATAACTCCGACAGCAGTACTTCAGCGTACTGCATGGCAAAGGGGTGATGCTGATACCAGAGCTGGACTCGATAAGGGAAATGAGGGAAGAAGGAAAAGGATAGCTTTGTGGAAAATGGAAAATTGTCACCCACTATAAATCAGTTATCTTTCAGGTAGATGAAAAACGTGAGCTTTCAGGTGCGTCCTCTGACTTCTCAGTACCGCAGTGACCCCGGTTTCAGTGACTCATATCATCCCACCAGGTTTTAGGAGATCTCAAAGGGGAGGTCTGCTTCAAACCTGATGACATGATATGGCCCTGTATTTTGATGGTTTTATGATGGAGTGAAGCGAAAGGGAAGACTTCACATCCTCTTATCATCTGATCCAAGCAAAGCGTGCCTGTCTCTAGCAAGAGATGACACCGCATCAGACTTGGCTTGTCACAGAGACACTTAATGTTAGATCGAAATATTTCTTGCCGTTTGGGTCCATGCCTCTTCCTTTTTTTTTTCTTTTCTTTGCTTTTGTCCCCAATTCTTCCTTTGATTGCCCTCTGGTTTTCTTTTTTTTCTTTTTTTTTCTTTTTTCTTTTTTTTTTTTTTTTTTGCTACAGGCCTTAGAAAGCCCAGAGCAAACCAAGGAGCAGAGAAAAATATTCAAAGGACTTCCTCCAACTTTTGAAAGTTATTTGCCCTAAACAATCAGCCCCAAAGGTTAACGTGCTAGAAATGTTAAGGTCTCCAAGCCCCTCTTCACTGCAGTTCTCCATGTCAAAGGGCATTTCGGCGTCGAAAGGCTCCTCAGACCCTCGACCCAGTTAGTTTACAGCGACCTTCCCGGAGAGCTTCCAGAGGAAGGAGGCAGGCTGTGCTCAGAGTCCTCTCCCACCCTCTGAATGGGATTAGCAGCCCAGTTTATTTGAAAAGCCTCTCCGAAGAATGCTCTGGCCTCTCCAGGACGATGGCTTTATCTCTAGACCCAGCCTCATAAACCCAGCATATAAATATATATTTAAAAATTCAATTTTATCCCCACCCCCCTCCTCCTGCTGTAGGTCCAACACCTTCCCAGCTTTAAAACCATCCCAGCTGGGTGCTGGTGGCACCGAAAGCAGAGGACCTGTTGCCGTTCCCCTACCCACGCCCCATCCCACGCTGGGTACTGGGGTCAGGATGCGACCCTGATGCCCCCTGAGCCTGTGGGCGCTGCCTGTTGCTGGAATCCCACCTCCTCCCATCGGATGGACCCCGGTGGTGCCCGCCGGGGATGGCAGCAGGCGTGTTCCCCCCGGTTTGGCAGGCGGTGGCCTGCGGTCCTCCCTGCCGCACCTCGCCCCTCCCCGGCGCCCTGGGCAGCGCAGTGCCCTTTGGCATCTGACCTTCTGTTGCACCGGGGTTTGAGTAATGGTTCAAGCTCCAGATTCTGGTTAATTTGAGTTCCATTTTCTGGTTAATGTGTAAGCCGTGGGTAAACTGGTCGCTATTGGCTGAGCAGAGAATTATCTCCTCTCATAAAGACGGGTTTTATTTTTGATTTTCTTTAATTCCTTCTCCCACCTCCCCTGGCTGAGCCTTTGCTGATGCCCATGTTTATTCACAGAGGGTCACTGAGAGGCTCAGCCGGGTGCTCTTTCTCACTGCCACCCTTTCAGAGAGCTCCTGGAGGAGCCCTGCTCTTTATGGGGACGGGGCAAAGGCAGCAGAGCCCTGAGCCCACCGGCAGTGGGACCCACTCCTGGTCCCCACACCACACTGCCAGCACGGGCTGACACTGGGCAAGGTTAGAAGCAGGCTCTAGAGTGTGAAGGGCGGTGGAAATCGCATGAGTAGCGCAGAGCCCTGCTGCCTCCCTCAAGTGTCTTCTTTCTCGGAGGAAAAAAAAAAAAAGCTGTTTGAACAGTGATAAGAGAAATCCTTCCTAGAAATAGACCGAGTGCAAAAGGGAAAATTCCCATCACACGCCCAACCTGAGAGGGAAGAGGAGGCTTGCCTCTCTCCGAGCTTCGCATTGTTATTACACCGCGTAATCTTTATTTGCAAATAAAAAAATAATGCAGCCTTCTCTAGGCTGCCTTTGAATTTTGGCCTGAAACTCACTAACTTCCCAAGTGAAGGGAGAGGAAAATGACAGCAGTAAGTTTTAATGTTCACTAAAGCAAAGCGACTTTTGGGGTTCTCTGTATGAATCATTGCAGGGGAGCGCCCACCTTTGCCGCAGGACTGCTTGCTGGGGACTAATTGGAACCGCTCTGCTCTGAATAACCCACATTCATTAATCACCCCTCGCTTGGCTCTGGCCTCGATCCTGCTCCCATTGAGCTCGAGGTAAACCCCCGGTGCTTTCCGAGGGGAGCAGGATCCCGCCATCCCCCTGCAGGTCCCTCCCGTGCCGAAGCAGGGGGAGCGCTGCCAGAGCCGGGGAACCGCATGTCAGGAGACGTGCGTGGTCTTAATCTCCCCATCACTAACAATGTCCCGCTTCTACCATAGTCCTGTGGTGCTTTCCCATTTATTAACTACATTACAAAGAACTTTCATGTGATCAGTGCTGGGAGATACGCGCACCGAGCGGCTCTTTGCTGGCCGTGAAATGGAGCGCAATACACTGCGGCCCCCTCCTCTCCACCCCACCTCGCCCTTAGGCTTTTTTATTATTATTTATTTATTTTAATTTTCCTAAAATGAATCAAGCCCCTCTGCCTAGCATCCAGGGCCCATGAGTATTTCCGTGTTGGTTGCTGCAGCATTTTCCCTGCCCGAGAAAAAACGTCATCCTGGCCTGCATCCGAAAATTAGAGAGCAGAAGGGAGGGAACCAGCCCGGTCACACCGGTGTATATTTATTTCTTCAGCAGGTGTACATTTATTTCTTCAACTGGTGTACATTTATTTCTTCAAATTTATTTCCTCACCACTGCCAGCAGGTGCGGTGTGAGAAGTGCCTGCTCACAGCAGAGCGCTGAGAGCTTCTATGTATTAGAAAGTCCTCTTTGCCCTTTTAAAACAACAAAAAAAATATGTGTGTGGACTCAAAATGCCATTTGAAAACTACTCCCCCCCCGCAAAACGTGGCAGCAAATTTTAAGTGTAAAAAATGAACTTTCCCAGCTCTTTTTTTCCTTTCCTTTCTGAAAGCTTCTGCGCAGCTGTTTCCTCTCCCTCCCTCCGTGTAGTGTGTAGGAAGTTCTCGATCTAGAATCATTCATAATTTTAATACCAATTTCTATTTGACATAATATACTAATATCAGATACAGAGTGTAGCTGCTTCCTGGATTTAGGGAGGAAATGATGCATATATCAGAATTATCTGCTCAGATGCCAGAACTACACTGGTGTCATTTCAGCATGTGCTGCATTGAAAGGAAATCCTCTATATTTATTACTCTGATCATCAGAGGAGCTAAATGGACCCTCTGTTTCTGACACCTGTTCAGATGGCCAAATTAAAAATTTCACGCAGGAAATAAAATAAAAAAAAAAAAAAAGCTACACGGTTCAGTGTTGCGAATTCAGGTTTTTAATAAACTTTCCTCCATCCCGTTTCCAAAGTCACTGAGATCAGGTTGTGAGAGGCTGCCACGAGGCCTGGCCCTTCCAGGGGCAGCTATGGAGAGTGTGATTTATTTTGTTTGCTCAGCCGGGACAAAAAACAATCCTGTTTGTACACACACACACACTTGAGCAGTCCGTAGTCAAATGCTTCAGATATCTTGTTTTAAGTGTACGTCTCGGTATGAATAGCACGAGGTAGCACACCAGGACGTGGCAGAGGTGAGTGGCTGTTGAAAGAACCGGTCTTTTCGGGAGGGAGCAGAGCACTCGACCATTTCACACTTTTAACTCTCCTCTAATGAATTTTTGGGGCACAGCAGATCAAAATCAATAGATTAAAATACTGTACGCCGTGCTGCATTTAATTCTTGACTGCCTGAAATTGCGGGGGAGGACTGAGAATAACATTTGTCACTCTTCGAGGGCTGAGTGCATTCAGACTTGTGAGCTCCAAGCCAACACGATGCAAAAATAGTCCAGGATGTGACTTAAGTTTTCGAGTGAAAAGCAAAAGGCCAGGGATCGGTGAGGCTCTCTCTGGGCTGGCCGTGGATAAGGACAGAGATAGGCAGCCCCAGCTATCTGCCCCGCTATCAGGCTGACCCGGCACAGTGTGATAACGTCTTGGTGCCCCAATGCGAGACGCCTGTATCTTATCACTCTCCGAAATGATCATTTTCGTTCTATATTGCCACATTTGATTTTTATTTTTTTCCCCTTTCAAAGCCTAGCTTTTAAGGCAGTGCCATTTGCGATGCCGCAGAGAGGTGTGCAGGCCTGTGCTTGTGGTGCAGGGCTGGAGACTGCCCAGCCTCTCCTCTCGGTTGGAGTGAAGCCCTGTGGACTCAGTAACACGCTTTCCTTTGCTTTTTTTTCTCTCACATGCATCTCTGTGAGATGTCTTGCGTGGAGGGATTTGAAGCCAGAGCAGAAGTTTGCTAGAAGTGGTTTCCACGCAGGAAAAACAAAACAAAACAAAACAAAACAAAACAAAACAAAAAAAAAAAAAAACAGATTAGCCAACAACCAACAAATTGAGCAGTGCCTTTGAGTTTCCAGCTGGGGTAGGGAATGGAGTGTCCCTGGTTGCCTCTTGCAATTGTTAATTCATAAAGAAGCACAGTCCCGAAAAATGTTCTCAGCAGCTCTTCCCCCTTTAAAACAGAAATGTCAATGACTGCGTACGGAGGCGTAAAGGCTCAACACCCTATTTCAGCGCCAGCTCTGGCATCTCCCTGCCCCTCAGCCCTGGCTTTTGGGTGCTGAACTCGAGCATCCCCAAGGGCTGCAGGGTGTCGGGGCGAGGGGGTGAGCAGGGACACACACTTCTGCCCGCCCGGCACCTGCCATGGCCAGGGGATAGCACATTTGGGGATGATTTTGTCACAGATTGGAGCAGCTTGAAAATAACCCTGGGCTGGGGAAGGGAGGGGGGGTATCCCTGCCCGGGGGGCTCTGCGGGCAGCCTGGGCTGCTTCGGGGCTGTGGGAGCTGCACCAACAGGGGTGGAGGGGCTCACACACGCACACGCACACCCCCACGTGTGTTTGGGGTGCTGGCCCCAGCCCCGGGGTCCCACCACAGGCAGTTGCCATCAGCAGGGGACAAGGACTGGGCGGGGGGACCAGGGGGCTGGGGCAGGGTGCGGGGTGTCTTCCTTTGTTTGTTTGTTTGCTTGTTTGTTTGTTTCTAAATTCAATTCCTGGAACAAAAGGGGAGGCTGTGCATAACTAAAGGATCCGTCCGTGCATCCAGAGCTTAGCTCCGGTGGGTCACCCAGGCAGCTCCAGTTGACTGACCGTCCCCTAGGTACGTTTGTGGAGCCACTTCCTTCATTTTGCACACAGGATTTCTTTTTTCTTTTCTTTTTTCTTTTCTTTTTCTTTTCTTTTCTTTTCTTTTCTTTTCTTTTCTTTTCTTTTCTTTTCTTTTCTTTTCTTTTCTTTTCTTTTTCTTTTCTTTTCTTTTCTTTTCTTTTCTTTTCTTTTCTTTTCTTTTCTTTTCTTTTCTTTTCTTTTCTTTCTTTTCTTTTCTTTTTTCCTTTCCCTTTCACTTCTTGCCTTTTTTTCTTTTTATTTTCTTTCTTCTCCCCTTTTTCTTTTTCCTTCCTTTTTTTTTTTTTTTCTTTTTCACCTGTGTCTAATCTAAACCCCTCTGAAATCAAAGGGATCTTTTTTAATGGCATTTTGGATCAGACCCTGAGATCTCTGCAGGGAGCAAGGAGAGTGGGGGGAGCAGGATTTACATTTCATGGCTTTTAAAGAATCTGAAGTACAGAGGAGAACAGCTTTCCGAGGCTGAGTTTCCCAAATCTATACGATGGATGGAGCATGGATGTGATTAAGCTTAAAGCCCTTTCTTAAAGAAAGCAAGTAAACTCCCTCTCCTGAAGCCTGAACCCCACTTCTCCAATTTAAAACAAAATGTCTTGCCAAGGCCTTGGTAGTGGGTTGTCACGATGCTGAAACGGATGGAGACAGAATCAGTTTGAGTTGTTGGTATCACTTCTAAAGCTGCGGTGCTCTCCGCTATGAACAACCCCTGCTCTCTCAGGCACTTGGAGCTGTTGCACTGAAACATTAGTGGCAATGAAAATGAACCTGAAAGTGAACCAAATAAGACCTAGCTTTTTTTTTTTTTTTTTTTCTTTTTTTCTGCCTTTTTTTTTCTCCCTTCACCAAAACTTAACTGTTTCTAAAATCACTGATGAAAGCATTTTAATACATAGGAAGAAATGCTGGAACCTGCAGTGCGATTCAGTGTTTTGTGGTGTGGGTTGAACAGATTTTACTTTCCATAGGGTTTCCTCCTGCAAAGTCATTGTAGAGGAGGGAATACTGTAAGATTAAATCTGTTTAAAATACTATATTCATGTCACACCAGATACAGTCTCCAGACTGTGCACAGTCTTTCAGCTTCCTTTATTGTGAAATCCTTTTAAAATAGCTCAGCATAGAGCAGAAAACTTATTCAAGTATAACTCTCTTGCACCAACTCTGCCAGATAAAATAAAAGGAAGTTATCAGCCCTCTTAAATTAACAAATCTGCTCAGTGTCTCTGGCTGCCTTCCTGCTGTCTTACTTTCTTAGTCTCTTTCCTTATTAATAAACTGATAGTTTAATAAACCTGCTAAATGAATAAATGCGCCTTGCCGGTGGAAGCGGGTTCCTTCCACTCTGCTTCAGGTCTCCTGTGATGTGGCTGAACTGTTGTGGTTTTAGATAAGGGATGTCCTCATCAAAGGCTAAGCATGATAAAAGCAGGCTGACCACATCGCTTTCTCGATGCTCTTCAGGTGTGAGACCTGAATACCTGTTCCTGTCGGCCGAATGCATTAATAACAGGATGGATTCACCACTGGGCATGAAAGCAAAGGTCATCTTGAGGAAAATGACACCAAAGGTCTACAGGAGTCACTGTATTTAAGAGATCCTGGGCCGCATGCCAAGCATCGTGTTTAAAGAAGCGCTGCCCCCCTTCTCCAAAATCCCTGGGAGGGGATCAGCGGCGGGGTGAGGGAGGCAGAGGAGCTGTCACAAAGCAGCAGCTCAGCCCCAGACGTCAGGCAAAAGGTTTCCTAGAAAAAAAATGACTGAATGTCGAATTGTCCCCTGAAGGGACCTGGTGCTTCCCGCATGGGGAGCCCTGGGACACGCTGCACCTTCCCGAGTGATGCTGGAAGGGAGAGGGGCAATCCTGCTGGCACAAAATGTGCAGGCGAGTTTTGTAAAAGCTGCAGAGCCGTTCTGGCATTAAATTACTGAAAAAGCGCCTATAGTGCGTCTTGCTATTTTTTTTTTTAATAAAAAACGATCAGGCTCGTGGTTTATCCTCGCTCTGATTATGCTGTACTATTACAATAACTTGATGGAGCTGAAACGTTCCTGCAGGCAGTTTATAGAAAATATATGTACATGCCTGTGTATATATACCCAGGGAGAGAAAGTTAAATATAGGGGACACAACAAAATATCCATGCTTAAGAAACACAGATTGACTCACTGACTTTCCTCATTTATTGTACAAAGATTCACTCTATGTATGTTGAATTTCTTTTTAAATTAGATTTTAAATATATGTTGACAGTAGGAATTTGTACAGTGTGAACGACCGCAGGGAGAAATGACAGCTCTGTTTTTGTTATTAAAGTACTGTCTGGGAAATAATGGAACGTGTACAGAAATTGATTATTATTTTGCCAATTACATTAGTGTAGCTAATAATAATCATTAAGAAAAAAAAATACAAAAAATACATTTTCAGATTTTAGAAGGTGATATTCACTGTGAGGCAAAAATATGTTTTTAAGGTAATTTATTGGTAAAATTCTCCTGTTATTAATGCTAAGTAGAGACCAGATGTGCAAGCTAGAAATGTTTCATTTTAAACTGTTTTAATTTTCTTCTTCACTCACAGACAGTTAATATACAGTACATGAGACTGTTTGAATTTAATTTTGGATTTGAACATAAGAGAACCTATTTGTACAATAGTGGCACAACAGACATGTTTTACAATGCTAAAAATTCCTTTTAATAATGGCATATTTTAATATATTTACTAAATTAGGTACCCGAGAGAATCTTCTACAACGGTGATGTGAAATTCCCTGTTACCTGAGGTCAAAAAAAAAAAAGGTATGTTTTCACTTTCATTAGCAATTTCTCGTATTTCGGGAGGGATGGTAATGTCACCGCTTTGTTTCCTGCTGCTCACAGGGAGCTGCGGTCAGAGCCCGGGAGCCACTGGCAGTCTCCCGGTGCAGCTTCCAGGCTTTCGGATGAGGCTGGCTTTCAGGTGCCTACAAGAAGCGTTCTGCAGTGATTGGGCTTTGTACTTTTGTCAGGCAGGCAGCTCTCCCATGTCCCACAACTCATATGTAATCCTTTGCAAATGTTTTCTTTCTTTTTCTTCAAGCGCTAGCGTTTCAGACATCAGCTATGGGGAATAAGGATGGGTCTTCTGAAGGTCTCCTTCAGATCTTGATGAAAATCATGAGGCTGTGTTAGGCAACTTCTGTACTCCCAATTTACAATAGAGTTTAATTCACAGCACTGCTTTCCTCGTCAAACTCATGTTCATTCAGTCTGTCAACATTGACTAAAAAATATGCCGCTAACAAAAATGTGGGGATTAAATGTTCAGGCCCTTTCCCTGCTAGATTCAAGCAGGCACTTTTTTTTTTTTTTTCCTCCACATGGAATCTGATTTTTATTGACCTCAACTGTAAAAAAAATACTAAATGGCTTAAATGAGCTTCAAGGTTGCAATGACAGAGATCCCTGCCTGAATTTTGTTATGAAAGCTTCTGTTTTAGTTAAGAATACACCCTACCACACTTTGATCAAACATAATGTGCTACTATAAAACAGTATTTTATTAGCTCATGTAATTGGCTTTTATTAAAAAAAAACATTTAAAATATGAGTGAGAGTGGGGAAGGGGTAGCCAGCACTCTAGACTTTACACCAAATAGGATAGAAAGGAGTTTTTGTTGGTATACAGCCTGCAGAAGTGGGCTCCTCAAGGAGACATTTCATTGAAGGAGCAGCTCCTGTTCATCACCTTCTTTCTCAGTGTAATGGCTGCAATTGCAATAATCTGAGAGGAAGCCTTTCCCAGTTCCTGTAATTTATGTATGTGATTATTAGATATATATAAATCATATAAGTGATATAAATTCATGTTATCCATATATTAAAAAAAAAAAAAAGAAAGAAAAAGCAAAAGCTTTTTTCCCTGATGTGCACTTGTGATCTTGGGACTTGCTTAACCTGCTGCTCTGGGACAATTCATTGCTCCTTCCTTCCAATATTTTGTGGTTACCCTGTCACAGATGATAGGATAAAACAGCAGCAAAATCTGTTACTTTTAAGCAAATAGCTGTCGGGTCTCGGAAGAGTTAACGAACTTTTATGGCAAGGTTCAGACAGATCTGACCCCTATGGTAATATTTCATCTAAGGTTACTGTTGGGAGAGAAATCAAATTTCAGCTGTGAGCATGATTGACAGGTGAAAGCAAGAAAGAGAAAGACATCTGGTCAGATGGGGAATTTGGGAAGGAGAAGGACAATTCAGGGAAGTGTCTCTGTGATATTAGGAATAATAAGCTGAGCTATGAAGACTCCAATACTCCACACTCTCTGGAGGCGCGCTCCATGGAGATATTCATTGCTATTCATGGAGGTGCTTTGATTAAGGGGATTTCAGCCTGCACGTTTCTAGTAGTGGACAGTGGTCTCCATGGTCTAACTGACTAACTTGACTACTTTGAACAAATTATGTTATTTCTGGCATACTTTTAGCATTTCAAGGCAATTCCCTTTACAAATATGACCGGAGCATTTGGCGGGTGCTGGTTAAGACGTCCTCACCATAATTTCCCCCTCGTGTCTAATGGCAGCAGGATTTGCAGCCACTGAGGATACACTGCGGTATTTCTTAAGGCAAGTGTTATTTTCCAAGGGCCATGTGTTGGCCAGTTCCATGTGCAGGACTCCCAGTAGCCGTGGCAAACATCCCTCCCAGTACATACATAACCCCAGACATGTTTGATACCTATTTTATCCGACTTCAGTGTGTTTTGTTTGGTGAAGAACAGCTTTTCCATCTTCCAACATCCTGAAACCTGCCCAATTATTTCCTGATTGGCATGATAATGTTGGAAAGCAGAATTTGGTTCTGACACATAAACTACAGCCCAGCTTTCTCTTAAAAATGAAGTGAAGGAGAAGAAATCTGGTGGCTTTTATCACTGTGTAACTGTTAATATTTAATTTTTCAAGACAAAGCCAGGGTCTCTGAAGGGCTTAAGTAATGCTCCAAGGGCAGGACGTGGAAATGATGGACCCTAGGATCTAAACTGCTCCCTGCCTCCATCCCAAGTGAAAGAAAAGGTCCTGGCCCCACCACAGCTTTGGTAAAAGCCCCATTGAATTCACAGGCCCCAGATTTTCACCAGCGTGCGAACGTCTATGGAGCAAGTCATACTAATAAAAAGCAAGATATGAATTTATCAGTCAGTAGCTGTGCTGTGAATTCCCTGGATGGGTGATCCTATCTGGGAGTAAAAGTGGATCCCCCCCAAACCCTCCCCAGTATAGCTTAAGCTGCTTTAAAAATAAAACAAAACAAAACAAAACAAAACAAAACAAAACAAAACAAAACAAAACAAAATAAAATAAAATAAAATAAAATAAAATAAAATAAAATAAAATAAAATAAAATAAAATAAAATAAAATAAAATAAAGTAAAATAAAATAAAATAATCCACTTTTACTCTGGAGCAGGAGTGTCCACCCTGGGAATGGGTAGCAGTGCGGTATGTTTTACTACATAATTCCCCCATCTGGGTGAGCCCTAAAACTAAGGAGAGAACAAGAAGCAGTAAAGAACAGAAATATATTTTCTGTTCCCTTTTCAGTTTACCTCTAAGACCTTTCACACAAGGGAAATCACGGCAATCTTAAAGTATATATTTGCTTACTTTTCACTGCTATTCCTGCATTCGCACATGCATTTTTAAAAGAGATTTGTGTTTTGTACAAGACCTTTTGCTTTCTCATGTTTTTCAAGTGTATTTTTGATGTACAACCAAATCTGACTGTTGTTTGTGGCATCATATTTCATTTCATGGCCACAGCCTGTGATGTCAAGCTGCCTGACGTCCCTGCAAGTAGACCCCAAGTTTTATTCTAAGACCATATATCTGATAAAATTGAAAATTAAAGCCAACAACTGTAAAAACAATCATGTTTCTTTGTGTATGAGTGAGTTATTTTTAACTTCCCATTGTTGAGTTAGCCATCCCTTTAAAATGTCTTTATGTTTTGAGCCTGATATCAAGATAACTTCCATGAAATATTATTGGCAAGTTTCCCATTGCAGTCAATGGGAGCCTTGTACGTATTTTTCAAGCAGATGTGCTATATTAAGTCTAAATGAGAATCTTTTATTTCAAATGGGAGGCAACATGCTGTTCTTGCTAAGAAATTGATAGTAACATATCTCCCTTCATTTTCTCTTCCCAAACATATTCTGTACAATTTACTGGTCATTTTACATAAGTAAAAAACCTGTTTTCTAGTATTTAAAAACAAACAAACAAACAAACTGAAAAAAAAAAAGAGAGAGAGAAAAAAGAAGAAACTTTCACAATGTCTCACACTCCTTTCTAGCTTATTCCTGAGAATATGAATTATCAAAATATTTTGAGTCTTCATGAGCAAAGAGAAAGTTCTGTGTGACATATCTGACAGTTTTTACTCCCACCAAATTCCCAGTAAAATCAATTTAATAGTTTTCCCTGTTTTTAAAATAAACTCTAAAATATTTTTCCACTGATGTGGCTTTAGCTTTTGTTTAATTCTAATAGAGGATTTTAAGTTAACTGCTACAAAAACTGAAATATTTTTAAAACTTCTCTTTTGGATTTCCTAATTTGTGCCACTTATGAAATGACTCACACTGTACCAAAATACGGGAGATTGATGAGACAGGAAAAGTACTGATTTAACGTCCCATGTGTAAAATTACTTCTCAGGCTTCCACATATAGTCCTGATGTTTAGAGTGCAGAAATCGAGAGCTGGGAGTTACAGCCTGACTCACTTGTGAGACTTTGACCCAGTTCTTTGATTCTAGATTCAGCAAAATACTGCAGCACTTTAAACTTGTTATCTTAGGTGTCTTCTAAAGGTCTGTTACCGTTGATCTCTTTATATCTCAGTTTACACAGTTATAAACCCGGATAATTAATTCTTACCTTCTAGGCTTTTGTGAGAGTTAAAAAATCGCTGCAATGGAAGCCTTCTAATGAAGGCCAGTGTGGTGGAGTGCTCGCTGTTCACCTTACTTCATGTCCTAGGGCAAGAAATGCACGGGGCAGCCACCGGCACAAGCCCCATCTACCGCTCCCGGGATGGGGGGGCAGCTGCTCCCGCAGCGACACTTGTGATGTCTGGGACTTCTGTCGGAGTGAGAAACCCCTCCACAGGTCAGGCACTCTGGGAGCAGGTGATTTTCTGAATGAAACACAACTCATTTGGATCAGTCAAAATGTAAGCAAATCATGGTTCAGTTATGTGCCCCTCTCCAAACCCCCTCCCCCCCCCAAATATACATCCTAAAATCCTATATGTACACACATACACACATATATGGAATAACTGCTGTGCACCTGCAAGGTATGTAAAGGTCCCATTTGTCCTTGTAATTCCTCGGTGCCATTACATTCATTTCCCAAGGTTCAAGCCATTATCATTCAGCAGCGGTGCAGCCTTGCTTTTCTTTAGTCCCCATGTTATTAGTCTCCCTCCTACTCTCTAACCCCCCGATCTGTAATGGAGTCTTCAGCTCTACATTTGCTGGTCATAAAGATTTTTGCTTGAAATGTTCCAAAAATGCTGGGGGGTGGGAGGGTGGGGGGAGATAAATAAATAAATAAGAAAGCCTATGAGCAACACGCTGTGCCATGCTCGAGCATTGCACTTCTCCGGGAAAGATAATAAAGATATTAGCACTCATATAATTTCAGATAGGAAATGAAACCAGACATGAAAGAAACACTAGCTCCAGCTGTTGAGTGGGAATCAAACTAGCTCTGGGAATTACAGGTACTGTCACTGGAGACAGCCC